CAGACGACATCCGATAAGACGCCGACGACTTCCACTGAGGTGCAGCTCTGTCAGCTGTGGTCGCGGACTGGGAAATGCAAGTTCGGGGACAACTGTAAGTTCAAACATCAAGCCGATGCCAATCAAGTAGCAACCCCGAAACCCAAGCCCAAACCGAATGCCAAACCGAAGGCTAAGCCTAAGGCAGCAGCATCAGCAGACAGCAGCAGCNNAACACCTTGGTGGGAGCCAAAGCATCATCAGTGACGATAACAGCAGGATCAGTGGTAGCAATGGCTGTGGGTGAGGATTCGTTTTCGAGTTCTGGGGATAGCAGTCTTGATGACGAAGATCTTCAGTCAATGGCTGGTGAGGCATCGACACCAGAGTGGTCCGACGTGGAGCAAGGGAATGTTCCATCGGAGGATGAGTCTGAGGAGGAGCCTCGGGACCCGATGACTTTCCAACTTCGCAATGCGCCGCTGTGGGTGCTTAACCTGTCGCCGGCTGAGTATCTGCAGTGGTCAACACCTGGAGGCATCATGGATCGAGCACAGAATGACTTTCATGAGCAGAGGAATCCAAACTCCATAGTGTGGCCAGTCTGGTGGACAATAGCTTTTGATCATTTGGATACGAATGCTGACGGGGTTATACAAGTTACTGAAGACGTGGTCATGTTGCAATGCAATCTCGCAACGGTGCGATGCGAGGACGAGGTATGCAGGCAGGTTTTTGTGGTGTGGATTTGCGAGGAAGAGACTGGCCAGGAGCGCATGTTGGCGGCGAACCGAATGTGGCAGCGACCGGTTGTCTATCGACATGATGGGGATGGAGAGAGGACGCAGTTGATATCAGCAACGCCTGGTGCGGCCAGACACAACCAGTGGACAGCGATATCAGCAACGCCAGGTGCGACAAGACACAACCAGTGGACAGCAACTTCATCATGGGAGCCGCCAATCTGGTCCTTGGGGGATGGCGTGCCGAGCGCGAAGGCACCCACAGTGGCAATGCCGCCGCCGTTGCA